CATGGGACTGGCTGAGGAAATGGCCAAGGCCACATGGAATTGCTGTGCCCCACTCGCTCAGAAACCCGGGAATCCTGCTCCCTGCTCTTCCCTGATCCACAGGCATTCCCCAGATGCGGGTTTTCAATACAACTGAATTAAAGCCATATAAATGCAACCGGCAGCGAGCTCAGGTGTCGCCCTGCGGGGCTCGTGGGCATCTCCACGAGATGCTGCATGTGACGCTATTCCAGAGCTCCGGCTGCTCCAACGGGATCCCAGCCCAGCGCGTCCCCGGAGAATTAACGCTAGACTGAGGAAAGCAAAGGCAGAAGGGAGCCGAGCAGATGGCCGCTTAAAAAAAATGAAATAAGAAATCTGTTTTCTGAGATATTCTGCTTCTGTCTCCTGAAAGGAACGACTGGATGGAAAGGGATACGGCGCCGCTAGGAAAGGAAGGAACCAGGAGCGCTGGTGGCTGAATCACGCTGCTCTCCCCAGGGCTGTCACGTGAAGACCATGACGTCCCTTCTCCAGAGAAGGTAGAAATGATCCGGCCTCGGCGCCCTGGGAAGCGAGCGGACACCCGCGCGGCAGCCTCCGTCCTCCTGCAGCATTCCTGAATTCCTGCAGTGCTTCCAAACTCGGAAAATAAACCACGCGCGGCCGCCTGAACCACCAAAGAGCTCTGATTAACGACGGGAAGGAGAGGATAAAGAAATGTTTATATTTCAAGAAATTAAAGCTTCGGTGACTAGGCAGCTGATTAATTAAATCAAGTTGGGAGGCATCTATTAAAAACCATTTTATATGATTTAATGAGAGAAGGTGCTAGAAATGGCGATTTTAATCAGCCAAGAGAGATTTAAAAGCAAGAAGATCCTGCTTAACCAACTCATTAGAGTTTTCAGAAGAAGTCTAGTGTCCCTGCAGATGGTGAAAATGAAATTTATTGTATATATTTACTCTAAGCCCTTGGTGATGCTGCACATCACAAGTTAACTGATTAAAACAAAAAATAAAGTCAAAGGAAAAAGAAATCTGCTAAAGAAAACCCAGAATGGCTCCAGTGCTCTGTTGGAGGACAGAACTCCCTCAAAAGCCGGTGCTATTAGGACTCCCAAATCCCTATCATAATAAATTAAAGGCTTTATTAGAGCCAGGAATACTTTAATAAAGCATTTTAATGCTTTTTATAATGTGTAAGAAGACATTCACACCCTGGCCTCGGTCACAGAGCAGCACATTTGGTATCCTTATTGCATCAGGACATCGGGAAGCACCGAGAAGTTTACAAATTCCTGAAGAAAATGGTCAGGAGAAAGAGTTCTGCAGTGTGTGTGCCAGCTAGGCCTTCCTTTCTCCTGCGGCTCTTTCCAAGCATTTAACAAAATACCATGGAAATAGGTGTCTGGTTCTTTTCCTTCCCTCCGGCACGAACGGGCTCGTTCCTCTCTCCTTGCCTGCAGGAAGCCAGCAGCAGCTCACGTGCCAGAGCAAGAGCTTGACGATGGCACAGTCCTATGGCTTGAAAGAGATGTTTACGATCGTAACATGGCAAACGGCAGAGCAAAAAGAATCAGTCAAGGTATTCACCCTTAAATTGTGCTATACATACACGTTTTACAATATATATTATATAATAAATATGGACTTGCTACACCTTCCAAATGCTATCTCATTATATATCTTATTATATGTATATAATAAGACATATATATATAAAATAAGAGATGAAAAAACAAAACATTTTTAAGGAACCTGACTCGACCCCCCTGACCCGTCAGCGACTTCAGTTGTCTCTAACTGCCTGGGTAGGCCGAGCACTCTGCGTTTATCTTTCCTTGCGTTTCTTCCTCATTCTATATCAGACTGTAGGCTGTATGTGTCATTTCAATACAAACAGGAAAAAAGCAATGCTTAGAGCATGTCACAACATAAATATTACTGTTACAGGATACTGTTTGTTTGCTGTGTAATTCTGAACTGTGGCACCAGCAGACCTCGGTGAGATGCAGGATGTGCTTGTGGGTATATCTCAGGTCTTTACAAGGGATGTTGAAGAGCTCAGCTCAATAAAATAACTGAAAAGCTCCCCCTGAGCCCAAGCAGAAAGTACTAGGCATCCATTTAAACTCATTAAGTTGAGGAATTGATGAATACCAAGGTTTTTTTCTATTAAATATGCTGACCTAGGTTGCAAGAACAGATACTTATGGTGGGAGCCTAACACAGCCAAAGCAGGAACCTGCAGCAAGTCACAAACCCCCACGACAAAAAGCAAATCATGCACTTCATTTGCACTGGATTTCTATGGCTTGAGAAACAATTTATCTCCATGGTATCAATGTTCTTCGTGTCAATTTTATATTTAAAAAAAAAAGAAAATAAGACAGCCACTTTAGAAAATTGCTGTTATTATGAGGCGGGTTCACGTCGAAGTCAGAAGCCAGGCTATTCCAGTCAGCTCCTTGGCATCACCTCGTCGAGTCAGTAGGCACAGAGCAGAAGCAAAAAGCATCTCTAATACTGGGTGAAATTTAGGAGTAAAACTACAGCTCTCTCAGCACAGATTTTGCCACTTGGGAATGAAGATCCTGGAGTGAAATTAACTGTTCTTGTACTGAAGCATTAAACTGGGTGCAATTTTAAACCCGAACAAGCGGGTTCCAGGCACAGGAATGGGGAGCTCTGCCCCGCGCTGCCGGCCGCGGGACGGCCGAGGAAAGCCGGGACACGGAACGGACACGCTGCGTCTCACGTCCACACATCTCCTGCCTTAGGAAAGCAACCAAATGCCCAAACTGTGTAATTACACAAATCCATCCGTCTTCACTGTCCTCTGCCCAGCCTTATGAATGTTAAAATCCAATTCCGCCCCAGATCCTTTTCAATAAATGACACCAAGTGTTTCCCGATGACCTTTCCGCAGCTGCTGGAGGCTCCGGCTGCAGCAGCAGGAAGGCCCCGGCCCCGCGGGACAGGGCTGCTCCATGGGATCAACCCTGTCGAGAAGGGACTTGCTGCCACGGCCCTTGCACAGGTTCCACCACATCGAAATGCACCACTGCTCCCAGCAGCATTGACTGTCCAGAGTGCCACGGGCACTATCATTTTTAACCAAAAAAAAAAACCCAAAAAGGGCTATTCCTGCCTCGCCAAGCAAACTGATCACACTAGTAAGAGCGCAAGGGGCTATTCCGCAAGCACGAGATGCACCAGGTTTGTTGAGCTGCAGCTGCAGCACAGGAGCCCCATTTGCCTGCAGCCCTCGGCCTGCCCGAGCTCACGCACCAAATAACTCCAGTTTGAGTTGCACCGGCCTCGGTCCAAACTTCCACCACGCGCAGCTCCAGCCCGGGTGCATTTGCAGATCAGCTGCAGTTTATTTAATCTTCCTCCAGCCTACTTCCCAGCAGTCTACATATTCATTAGCAGCCAGGCTGCTCTGAACTACATGCAGATTAACCAGCCTTCGCGGGGCTCCTGCGAGACACCGGCGTCACCAGAGCTCCTGCTCCAGCCACACGGAACGGGAACGACCTTGCCGAGCGGGAATGACTTTTCCAGCCCGTGACCCATGCACTGGCTTTTGCAGACGTGCTACAACGCAGGCATCGGCTTTGACCCCAGCAGAGCAGAGCACCCTGCCCTCCGAACACCCCCAAGCTGTTTCTTGTCCACTGTTTTACTGCTCTTTCCAAGCCAGCTAACATCCAAAACTTTTATTACACATCTCACATCATTTACACTGCGCAGCAAGAGCAGCTAACACTATTTTACACTGAGAATACAAAAAAAAAGAACGCACACAACAGACCAAGCCTCCTACAGGCTTTCCCCACAGAAAAATCCAGGAGTGCTAGCTGCAAATTGTTTTATAGTACTGCAGGAATCCCCGTCAAATTATTGCTTCTGCTCTGGGATGACTGTGGGCGATTAGAAGCAAACCATAAATTAAGGTAGCTTAGGTGGGAGATTTCTGCAACGCATTATTTCCATGAATACGAGAGCGCTGTTTTGCATAACATCTGGTATCAATGGGGCACATCAGATTTGCTTTAAATGATGTGCCTATTCCTACTGGATTTTAGTCAGCCTGACTCCAGCGTTCAGCAGTCACCACATTTACCTCCCTAGGAAGGTGCCTCTCCGGTTACATCCGCTCTCCCTTACCCGACCCGTCCGGGTAAGCCCCACGGGGAGGTTGCCCTCACCCTTGGCACGAACACGCGGCAAGGCCGGGGCTTGGGTTCCTCCGTGTCTCCAACCGCCTCCGCGGGAATTCCCGCGGGAATGGGGAGGCTCTCACCCCGCTCCAGCCTTCCTCCCCAGAGCCGCCTCCTCTCCCCTCTTACCACTTTAAAGAAACTTTCAACTTCCAAACCCCTTCCATGCCTCCATGTTTTATCGAAGCAGATCTTATTTTCCTTTATTTTACCCAACATCCACCCCATCAGCAGGTCACAACATTTGCAAACTTTGGCTAGCTAGGATTTATACATTCAGAAAATACTTCCTTTTTTTTTTTTCTCTACTTGCAATGTTCAAGCCTGAAATATTACAAAAATATATTTGAAAAGATGTAATCATGATTTTTATGTAATTTGTTTCAAAATTCTGATGAGTTATTTGCAGAACTGCTTTTCCTCCATCATTTATATTTTACATTCGTTTATGTGTTAAAAAGCACTGGAGTCCTCCGGTCTGTGTGCCAGCCCCCAAATCCTAACGCAAGCAAATTAGGCCAATATCAGTAAGACTTTTCTTTTTTCTCGAAAAGCACCAACGATTCCACTGTCAGCAGCCTCACTGGGTATTGGGCTGGATCCAGTAAAATATGGCAACGCTGGGTGCTAGGAGACTGCCTCCTCCATGCGGAAAGCAGAGCGGAAGGGGAACAAGGGGACACAAGCGCGGGAACGGGGAATATGGTGGGATGTTTTAGGTTAAAAAATCAGTTGAAACGATTACATTTTTTGGCAGGTGGCCAAGCGTTTGCTCGGATTTCCTGCACTCACCAGTGGTCTCCACGATGCCCTCCAGGATGACGACGATCTCGAACTGCTCCGTCTGCATGCTGCGCTGCGACAGGTCGTAGAAGGGGCTCTTGGCGTCGATCACGTGGCAGATGGTGAGCGGGGACACCAGGAACAGCTGGTCGGCGCCGGTGCTGAAGCCGACGTCCAGCTCCAGCTGGTCCAGCGGCAGGAACTCGCCCTCCGGCGTCTGGCGGGACTGGACGGCCGAGGGGGGGCACACAAGGACAGGAGGCACCCCGCGGCC